GCGTCGCCATGAAACCTCAGGGCAACAGAGGACTATCAAACACAACCTAGGCTAGCCTAATGGGAAGCTAGGCAGACCACCTCTGCCAAGGAAGCGAGAATGTGCTAAAACAAGGAAACAAAAAGTACCTTGAAGCAATACGCACAGACTAACCTGTCCCCCAGAGAGAATCCTCACTTGCCACTGAATGCAAGCTGCACCGGCCACAGTGCACCCCCACCCAGCACAAACCCACTCCCTATCTGAGACAAGATGGGAAGCCCAACACTCCCAGTGAACCCCAAGGGCAAGAACACCAAGCATTGAAGTCCTAAAATGGGGGTGAAACCCAAATGACCCAGGGAAGATAACCTTGACCCGCAAGGGAAGTGCTTACCGGGCACCTAGGTAAGAGAACCCTAGGTGCATGCTGCCCAGCATGCTTGTAGGAACAACTGGCCACCATACAACACACCTGGCAATGTCACAAATGCAAAGCCAGACAAAAATTGAGGCCAGAGTGGACATATGATAACCGGCACTTCAGTCTACAAACTGAGGGTGGTGCAGCCGGCTCGCCTGAGTGGAGCCCACTCTTCCCCCATCAGGGAAAGGGGGGGGCTAACGAGTGGGCACGCTAGTAGGATGATGATTGCTTATTTGATAGCTTCAGGGAGCTGATGGGGCTCCCCTCAGAAAACATGGGAACTTACCAGGGAGGAGGGAAACACACAGGAGCCAAGACGAAGAACAAACCTCAAGACGAGAGAGAACTCAAGACCGCACAAGAGTGCCAAGGCCCAGGAACATTCACCAAATACTGGGCTGCTAAAGGGATCATTCCATGTGAATTCCCCAAAGGCCTCCCACTTGACTCTTTCTAAATCTAATGAAATTTTGTAATAAAGTAGCCCTAGACCACAAATGAAATTGTGAAAAAATATTAGAGCTCAATCTGCTTTGGTTCTTAAATAATAGGTCCATGGTCAATGAGCTCACATCCCGTTAATGCGTACATATCGTAAAAAAGCCAACTTTGACCCTTTATCAAATCACGTCTAGGGCCCAGAGAGGTGTGAAATTTGGCATACCGGGACAACTTTTGGTGCGGAATACAGCAGTGTAATCAAAAAAGTAGTTTGGGTAGCCATTCAGCTACCAATCTGTGCTAAAATTACTGCCAAATTTTGTTGTGAGAAATTTGGCCCCCAATTTGGAGACCACTTACTCATCACCAAAAGGTCTAAACGCCATGATCTTTTGCAACGATGTATAACAAGTACAATATTATGCAGTGATGCAATAGCAACTCTGTTGTATCCATATGTCCAGAAGTGGCCCACTTGAAAGTTGGCCAAAAAAAAATTTTGTGCAAAACTGGCCAACTTTCAAGGCAAAATATCTCAATATGCGTCATTCCCAATTTGGTTTTGAATGACACCATTGGATAGAGCAGATTTTTATGTACAAGAGTAACTTTTATAAATAAGGTTGGGATCTGAATTCCTAGTTCAGCCAGAGGACTCTGAAAATGACATACCTTGGTGCAATATCGAAAAAATCAAATTATGATTCTCCATCTTCTTTGTGCACTGATCATGACTGCAAGCAAATTGATATCCAAACTGATTGGAAAAATTTTAAGCTTCATTGGGTAGAACATTTTTGGGAGGGATTCAGAATTATTATTAAACAATCAGTGCTATTTTAGGTTCCTGTTCTATATTTATCTTTACATCTTTGTAGTATCGTGTCAGCAGGTCAAACAGTGCTGTTTACTTATTTGTGTATTTACTTGCAATAAATACATAAATAAATAAAAAGCAATATTAATATTAATGTATTACAGGTCTCACTTGAAATTACTGTATTCAGTTAGTTAAATAATTAGATTTGAATTTGATTACAGATACGTCATGAATCAGGATTCCATTGGTTTATTGCCATGTGCTATTGCTAGCCATGAGCGTGGCTCTTCAGAATGTCACTTGACAACCTACACTCCCAACAAAGGCTTGAAGTTTCTAAAACAGTATAGTGCAGAAGATCAAAAACTAATAGCAAAGCAAAGTGAACTGAACTTGGATGGAGGATCTCTAGTATGCCTCCATCATGAAGCTTTGCTGTTGACAAAATTAAAATTTTCAAAAAACTTGCTGCAATCCCTTCAAGAAGAAATGCCATTTAAAGCGAAAAGATTTGTGACCAATCATAGTAGCTACTGCAGAGAAAATGTCAGATATGCTGAAAATCAGTATTAAGCCTGGCCAAAAGTTGTGCACATCATGCAGAAAGGAATTTGACAATAAGCAGGTGAGTCTAGCTCTGCTGAATCTGATGGCCCTGCTGATAATATGGAAATCTGTGAAAGTGTAAACACAAGTTTATCAGTATTAGGCATCTCACCTATTAAATATCAACGAGTTAGTACAAGGGATAAGTATGGTTATGCAAAGCATAAGATTAGCCAAGCACAGGAAATAATTGCCGAGCAGATTGTTGCAATTGGAAATATTGATTGCCAAAACCTGATGGTACCAAGCTCTAGCCAACAGTGCACAAATTGCCACGACTTCAATAAACTCATTGAAGAAATGAAGCTAAAATTCCATGTAGCAAAGCGCCAAGAAAAATACAAATCCTAACCACTCGTGCCACAAAGCTGGTCTATAAAAAAGACAATGGAGCAATTCAAAGTTTCAGAATACATGGTTCGCGAAACTAGGAAACTGAAAGAAGAACTGGGAATACTAGCAATTCCTAAGAAAATGCAGGGCAAGTCAGTTCCTGAGGAAGTGAAGGAAAAGGTAGTACAGTTTTTTGAGGGTGAAGAATTTAGTCGAATGTGTCCCAGAAAAAATGGAAAGAAAAAGTGTCATGATCAGTGCACAAAGAAGACAGAGAATCAATTTCATTTTTTCGATATCGCACCAAGGTATGTCATTTTCAGAGTCCTCTGGCTGAACTAGAAATTCAGATCCCAACTTAAATAAAAGTTACTCTTGTACAGAAAAATTTGCTCTATCCAATGGTGTCATTCAAAACCAAATTGGGAATGATGTATATTGAGATATTTTGCCTTGAAAGTTGGCTAGTTCTGCACAAAAACTTTTTGGACAACTTTCAAGTGGGCCACTTCTGGACATGTGGATACAACAGAGTTGCTATTGCATCACTGCATAATATTGTGCTTGTTATACATCATTGCAAAAGTTCATGGCGTTTAGACCTTTTGCTGATGGTCTCCAAATTGGGGTCCAAATTTCTCGGGACAAAATTTGGCAGTGATTTTAGCATGGATGAATAGCTGAATGGCCACCCACACTGCTTTTTCGATTACACTACGTTATTCTACACCAAAAGTTGTCCTGGTATGTGAAATTTCACACTCCTACAGGCAATAGAAGTGATTTAACAAAGGGTCAAAGTTGGTCATTTTTGTGGTACCTACGCATTAACGGGACGAGAGCCCATTGAATATGGACCTGTTATTTAAGAACCAAAGCAGATTGAGCTCTAATATTTTGCAAAGTGTCATTTGGGGTCTAGGGCTATCTTACTACAAAATTTCATGGCATTTCAAGAGGGTCAAGTGGGAGCCATAGGTGACTTTTTGGTGATTTGAGATGGAATGACCCATAGCCCTGTTATACCACCAAAAACCCATGCCCAAATATTTGTCCAGGACATACTGTATTACCTAACAAAGCCATGTGAGCAGCATTCTTCCAAACAACATGGGCACAAAGATAGACTTCAGGTTGGCTAGATATAACACTGCAGATGACCCTAGAAATACAAGCCTTCGAAATGAAAACCAAGGAAACAGGATCAATCCACAAAACATCTACTAAAGCAGAATCAGTGGCACGAAGATAGCAGCAGAAAGCCACCACTGAACACAGCACATGATGCACTCCAGGCTGAACCAACCAAATGATAATAAGCAAAGGACCCCCCTCTCAAAGCCGATTTGCTCTAAGCCAGAAAAAGAGCCAATTGCAAATAAAGCGCCCACTGGGGCCAAAAGAACACAAACTGCACCTCATGAGGAGAGCATGAAGCTCCCTGACCCAACAATCTGAGGCAAAAGAAACCAAAAACAAAGCCATGGAGAAAGAATCTTGGACAAAAGGGAATACCGTAAAACAAGAAAAGGAATGAAAGGCAAAAACACAGTCCAAACACCTTGTAGGTTCAAGCGACACATGAACTTGCTGGAAGGGAAACAGCACAAAAAGCTGCAAAATTGCCGTATTGAGAGAGTGAGATATTCTCTTTGTGGCTCCAAATAGGTGAGAAATGTACCTCAGGGGCTTGCTGCATTGGGTTAAAGTTTGGCGGTACTAGAAATAAGCTCGGTGAGCTACTGAGTGGTCTCTCATAGAAATTGAGGATAAAAAAAAATTAAGTTTGATGATTCATATACAAATGTGTGAAAAATGCATGGATACATCTGCTAATAATGATCAACCCTTAAATTGCTCCTATCGTCCTCAAGAGGTAGACCGACAGTGTTTCTGTCGCCTGTGGGACTTTTATAGTGTGCCTCATAATACTGTAATATAAAATCCTAAAGATTTTATGTAGATGTCATTCGACACTACAGACCTCTAGTAATTATTTGCCATATTGAAAGAATTCCGAATTAGTTGCCTTCCTAAGCACTAGTTAAAAAACTAGCATCATGTCAAGTGCATCACCATCCATTTACTGACAACTATGGTAGGTACCATTGATGCTATGCATAATTTCAAGGACTTTCAAGGACTTAGATGATATTTGTGATAAGAGAAATCTATTATAAACAGTATACTATACTTGAAAATTAATTCTCAGAATTTGATGTTTTCTATATTACTTAACCTTGCTACATTTAAAATAAAATTATTATAAATTTTTCTCTGACATAAATGTTTTATGATATAGAAGGAAAAAATTATTTGGGCAATCATTTTTATGCGCTCCAGAAAATCAACCTAAAAAAGGGTGTAATTTGATACTTAAATTACTGTACTCACCTGCAACAAAAGCTCACCACTGAGAGCATCAAAAGATATAAGATTGTAGTTGCGGTTGTATGGCTCTTTGTTGAGCTCAGAGACGATAAACTTGATATCCTCACTCATAATTAGTAATTACACACTGAACTGGTAACTGTCAGCTGAATATTCCTGTCAAATAAATGGATAAGAAATTAATTAAAAAAACCAGCGTTGAAAGTAATGAAACGCCATTTTCTAGGTAAGCCCCGAAGGCTCCCTGGAGCTATCGGGCTAAAATATGACACAGTATATTAGACTAGGGCAATAGTCAATTAAGTTCAGCCTACCAGAGACCACGAGCCAGAACCTGGCTCCCCCCTCAGAGAGGCACAGGAAGCAATGACTGCTGGAAATACCACCGTGGTTGGGGGCTTTCCTAGTCTGCCATCGACTGGGGTTAGGCACCCAGAAAGGTAGGCATAACAAAACAGACCCCACATAGTAAGAAAATTGCAACCAAAAACTGAACAGAGTGGCAGAACTCCCTCAATTCCCAGGAAAATAAGCAAACGTTGTGCCTCGCTGCCGTGCCGCTCATCCGCACAGCCCTCTCCTCCCTGGGAAGAGGGAGAGTCTCGGACCCCCCACGCCAGCTTTCAACACACACTGTCCAGCTTTTCATATAAAAGGTAACAAGCGAATAAGACCGACAAACCATCTCAATGAAAGTAGCCACAACACTATTTACCAGGATGATTTTTTAGCAAAAGGAGGAGGAGAAGAATGGCTAAAAATGTCCCGACTCTACCACCAATTCGGTCAAATGCTAGAGAGGACGCAAACACAGTGGCCTCCTTGCCAGAGCCTCAGATATTAACACCAAGTAAAGCATCCAGCACTTCCACAAACATAACATCATTTTTATTTGCCAACATTCAGGGTATAAAAACATGCAAATGTAACAAAGTGCACTTCATAGATGGGCTCTTACATGAGGCAAATGCAGTGTTTGCAGCCATAACGGAAACTCACATCAAGGATTACCATGATGGTGAAATATGGATTTCGAAGTACAATCTTTTCAGATGTGACAGGAAACACAGGCTACAGGGTGGGGTCAGCCTGTACATCAAAGACACATTCATCTGTACTGAGCTGCTAAACACCATAAACGATATGGTGGAAGTGCTAATAATCAAAATAGAGATCTTAAATGTAGTTATTGTCCTTGTGTACAAGTCACTGGAGGCAAATCATCAGCAGTTTAAAGACCAACTAATGAAAATAGAGCACTGCTTGGAAAACCTCACAAATCCAGCCCCAAACATCATCCTGCTTTGGGACTTCAACCTACAGCACCTGAAATGGAAGACCATAGCTGATACAGTTGTATCAGAGAGAATTCCAGGAAGTAGCCTAAATGAACAGGCACATGCAAATGGCCTGCTATAGATGTGCGACAGGTTTGCCTTAAACCAGCAAATAGTAGAACCAACTAGGAAGGAGAACACGCTGGACCTCATTTTCACTAATAATGATGAATTGATCAAGAACAGAATGATTACAAATACCTGTTACTCAGATCACAACTTAATTGAAGTTCTGACAAGCATGGGGAATAGACCTTCAAAACCAGAATCTGGGACCTGGGACCTTTAAAACCTGGGAATCTGGGACCACTGGGAATCGGGACCTGCAGTCCCGATTCCCAGTGGAGGAGATTTCAGCAAATTCAACTTCAATAATAAACAGATAAACTGGAAGCAAATAAACCAAGACTTCACAGAAATAAGCTGGGAAGAACAGCTAGAAAATGCAAACCTGAACCAGTGCCTGGAAAAAATAAGCTCAGCAGCACTAGAAATATGTTCAAACCGCATACCCCCTAAGAAAAAAGAGGAAGAGATGCAGATTGGAACGGGAACGTCGTTCCCTTTATAGGCGAAGAAAACGAATCGCGGAACAACTTGAGAGTCGCACCCTATCTCAAGAATGGCGAAGAAGGTTAAGTAGAGAAATAGAAACAATTGAACTAAAGCTACAAGAATCATACAAAACCCAGGAGAGACAAAGAGAGCAAAAGGCCATCACTGAAATAGAGAGAAATCCGAAATATTTTTTCTCCTATGCAAAATCAAGATCAAAAACCACATCTAGTATCGGGCCCCTGCGAAAGGGAGATGGAACTTTCACTGATGACAACAAAGAAATGAGCGAAATACTGAGGAATCAGTATGACTGTTTTCAGCGAACCACTAAACACACTGAAGATTGATAACCCAAATGAATTTTTCATGGATATGATACCAACATCAAATCCTATACCAGATGTCACCCTATCCCCACTGGATTTTGAAGAAGCCATAAACAGTATGCCTATGCATTCTGCACCAGGCCCTGACTCTTGGAACTCCATATTCATCAAGAACTGTAAAAAATGCTATCGCAGGCCCTTCGCATTCTTTGGAGACAAAGCCTAGATACTGGCATTATCCCTGACATATTAAAAACAGCAGAGATAGCACCGCTCTATAAAGGAGGAAATAAGGCAGAGGCAAAAAATTACAGACCGATAGCACTAACATCGCACATCATAAAAATCTTTGACAAAGTTCTAAGAAGTAAGATCACAAAATACATGGAATCACAGCATCTCCTTAACCCCGGACAACATGGTTTCAGAACAGGGCGCTCTTGCCTATCACAGTTGCTGGACCACTATGACATGGCACTAGATGTCATGGAAGACAAACAAAACGCTGATGTAATTTACACAGATTTCGCAAAAGCCTTTGACAAATGTGACCATGGTGTTATTGCACATAAAATGCGTTCAAAAGGAATTACCGGAAAAATAGGCCGATGGATCTACAATTTCCTGACTAATAGAACCCAATGTGTAATAGTCAACAAAACAAAATCTGGACCATCAACCGTAAAGAGCTCAGTCCCTCCAGGGTACTGTGCTTGCTCCAGTACTTTTTCTCATCCTCATATCGGACATAGACAAGGACACAACCTATAGTACTGTATCATCCTTTGCAGATGACACTAGGATTTTTATGAGAGTAGACAACATAGAGGACACAGCAAACCTCCAATCAGATGTCAATCAGGTCTTTCTATGGGCTACAGAAAATAACATGGTGTTTAACGAAGATAAGTTTCAGCTCATGCGCTACGGAAAAAATGAAAATATGAAAACGGAAACCACGTACAAAACTCAGTCAAATCATAACATAGAACGGAAAGGCAATGTAAAGGATTTGGGTGTACTTATGTAGGAAGACCTTACATTTAAAGAACACAATAAAGTAGCCGTCACAACTGCAAGAAAAATGACAGATTGGATAACAAGAACCTTTCACACTAGAGATGCTATACCGATGATGATACTTTTCAAGACGCTTGTGCTCTCTAGAGTGGAATACTGCTGCACAATGACAGCCCCTTTCAAAGTTGGAGAAATAGCTGACCTGGAGAGCGTGCAGAGATCTTTTACTCCTAGAATCCACTCAGTATAACATCTAAACTATTGGGACCGACTAAAGAGCCTAAATCTGTATTCTCTTGAGCGCAGGCGGGAGAGATACATAATAATTTACACATGGAAAATAGTAGAGGCGCTGGTCCCAAACCTGCACACAGAAATAACAGCACATGAGACCAGAAGGCATGGCAGGATGTGCAGAACACCCCCATTGAAGAGCAGAGGTGCAACAGGTACTCTTGAGAGAGAACTCTATCAACATCAGAGACTCAAGACTGTTCAACACGCTTCCGCTACACATAAGGGGTATAACTGGCTGACCCAGTGTTCAAGAGAGAACTTGACAAACACCTCCAAAGGATACCTGATCAACCAGGCTGTGACTCATACGTCAGGCTTCGAGCAGCCGCGTCCAACAGCCTGGTTGACCAGTCCAGCAACCAGGAGGCCTGGTCGACGACCGGGCCGCGGGGGTCGCTAAGCCCAGGAATCACCTCAAGGTAACCTCAAGGTAACCTCAAGGTAGGTACCCAGCAACTTCAGTTAGTTGGCTAATGTGATCCGGAGTGGACATCAGCTCTGGCCTTGGTTTCCTGGCTGTGTTTTGCCTTAGTGGTGTCCTCTGTTGTTCATGGTATGGTGGCCAGGTGTACTTAAGTGTACCGGGGCTGCATGCACTTAGGGCAGCCTTCTCTAAGTGCCCTGTGAGAACTGCCCTTGGGTGTCAGGGTTCTCTTCCCCGATGCTTTTGTAACGTCATTTCCATAGTGGTTTTTGCTGCTCTGCATTTACCCCACCCTTGAGACCAGCTGGGGTTTCGTGGCCCTTATTTAGCCTTGAGTAGGGAGTGGTATTGTTGCTGGGTGTGGTGTTAAGGTGTTGAGCAGCCTGCTTATCCATGCAGTGGCCAGTTTCTGTTTCCTCTGGGGATATTGTACTTTAGCAAGGTTTTTCTTTTACTTTTTGTTTTGTTTGCCTGGTGGGGGTCTGCCTGGTGTGGCTATAGGATCCCTTATAATATTTTGGAGGCCCTCTTCTAGGTCTCCATGATTGTAAACATCGCAGGGGTTTCAGTGCTTTGATCTCCTTGTTAGCTTTGGTTTTAACCCATTAGCAACACCTTGCTCAGGCTTCCCATAGCAGTCAGCCTACGGGCCCTGGAAAACCCTGTCGGGGCTAGGTGGACCTATGGATGCTGACCAGACCACACACTAGAAATTGAAGGGACGACGACGTTTCGGTCCGTCCTGGACCATTCTCAAGTCGATCGATCGATCGACTTGAGAATGGTCCAGGACGGACCGAAACGTCGTCGTCCCTTCAATTTCTAGTGTGTGGTCTGGTCAACATACTTCAGCCACGTTATTGTGACTCATCGCCTGCCTATGGATGCGTCTTCCGAATTCCAGCTCACCTCATGTGAGCTTGAAGGTTGCTGTGTGCCTTTGTCTCAGGATGACAGTCACCGCTTTTGCCTCTGTCATGCTGCCTGTTGGATCAATGACACCTTTGACCCAGAGTCTTGCGAGTCATATTCTCTGCATGTTCTCTAGTTTACCCATTCTGATAACATTGACATTCAGGTGGCATCCTCTTTGCATGTTAAGTTTAGGTTGCTGCAACGCACTCTATTGGTTGCCCACCCGGATTCCCAGAGGATGCCCCATTTTGGTTATAAGGGCTCGGACTTGGGGGGGGGGGGGGGGGGGGGGGCGTTAATGCTTCGACTTTGGTTCCGACCATGCTCCCTGGTCCTTCCCCTGTTGGTCACCCCCCTTTTCCCCATCCCCCTGCTTCCAGTTCCCAAACGTCTGAGGGTTTTGGAGTCAGAGCAGGGTTTAGTTGGTAATGAAACTCGGGCAGCTTTGGGAGCTGCCACATTCGGGTCAGGGACAGAGGCATTCATGCCGGTTCCTCCTGCTGAGACTTCTGGGTCCCACCAGCAGGCTCCCTTCTTTTCTGCCTTTTCCCTGGACTCTGCCTTTTCTTTAGAGGAATAGAGCATGGAGGACTGCTCTGCCCCGGGTCCAGATTTGGGGGATCCCGGAGATGGAAAGGAGTTGGGCCCCAGACCCAACTTGGGTGGTGATGCCCTCTCTATGGGGCTTCTTGTTGCAGGAGGGGGGGGGGAAGGGGTTTTCTTACCCACCTTCCCTGTATGAATATGATTTGGGATCAGCTTCTCCCCGGGTTCAGTTCCAGGTTCCCTTGGGCTCCTTGACTCCTTCCTTCCAAAGGGTTTCTGCCTCTCGTATATCACCTAAGGAGGTTTGGGAGGCAGTTGTTGCATACCTCCTGCAAGACCCAGATTCTGCCTCTGTTATGAATCCATCCTCCTTTGAGCTCGGTTCTTCTTCTCCATATTGGGTGCATTTGGAGGTTCTGAAGTCTTCCTAGCTGGCACTGTCCATTCTTTTCATTGGGGAGCATGGCATGGGTTCTGTCAGACCTTACCATTCTACAGGTTTACCTGGGGGCGAATTTGAGCACCTTAATGCATGCTTGTTCGTCCCTGTGCTTCTTCTGGATGTTGGCCTTGTGCAGCTGCATATGCAGATTCCCTCCCTTTCAGCATCTTTGGTTGCAGAGGACTTGCACACCCATGGGCATTTGGCTTTGGTCTTGTGCTTCTTTTCCTTTCTCGAACTGTCCTCGGACTGGCTTAAGGAGGATGTGGGGGCGTTCAGTGCCGGGCCTTCGTCTGGAGAACTGACTTCAGCAGCTATGGCATCGGCCACACTATTGAAGCTGTTTGTGCAGATTCTCAAGGAGGCAGTGTCTTTGTTCTTTGCTTCTTGCCTCGCATGCCGGCAGGCTGTGCTCTCACTCTCATTTTTAATCTGCTTGGGCTTTGGCTCTTAGGTTTTCGTCGCCATATTGTCCGTTGCTGTTTGCGTAGACTGCTGTCATCCAGTTTCTGCAGGCAGCTTTGCCTAGTTTTCATTCTATTCTATGTTGGACTTGTTGGTTCTCCAGGGTGGCCATTCTCGGCCTTCTTAGAAGGGTCATGACAGGGCTCAGGGTTCCGTAGGTCGAGGTGGGCCATTGGTGCCAGCTTCTGAACCGGCGTTTAATTCAGAGCCAGCATCGTCTGGTCGGCGTGATGATCACTCTACTCATCGGCCGGCTTATCGTAAGGGTTGTCGGCCCTTTCGCAGTTCGTCGCATTGACGGGGCGAGGAGGAGGCTCGCGATGTTTGCTCATGCCTGGTCCCACAATTCGTGGGTGTTTTGGGTTGTCTCCTCCAGCCTGTGGTGGCGTTGAGCAGCTCCTCCTCCTTTGGAGAGCTCGAGGCTGGCGGGGCAGGCTTCTTCCCCTGCGCTTCATCAAGTCATCTTGGAGTGAGTGCGCTTGGGCGTGGTCAAAATGACCCCGTCCCTCAGGTAGGTTCCCGCCTGTTTCCAGTGCCGAAACGGGACTGTGAGGATCTGTAGTTCATTCTGGACTTGTCCCGTCTGAACCCTTGGATTCCTTGCCCCTCGTTCGTATGACCACTCTGTCTCAGGTCTGGCTTCTATTGGAGCCGAGTACCTGGTGCCCCTGGACCTCAGGGACATATTGGCACATTCCCATACATCCAGGGTTCAGGGACTGGTTAGGTTTCGTGGTAGGGCATCAGGCTTACCGCTTTCGTTGCTTCCTTTTGGCTTGAATCTGGCGCCTCGCGTATTCACATATCTTACCTGGGTTGTGGTAACCCGTCTGCATTTGCAAGGGGTTCAGGTTCTGGTTCTGGCCTACCTCGATGACTCGCTGATATGAGCTCCCAGCCAGTCTGCTTGTCTACTCGCCAGAGATGTGGTTCTTTTCCAGCTCACCAGGTTCGGGTTCCTGGTGAACTGGCGTAAGTGCCATCTGGTTCTGTCTCAGGTTCGGACCTAGCTGGGTCTTGTTTATGAAGTTTCCCGGTTTTCTTTCCGACATTTTCTCTCTCTTCGTTAGTTGTCTTCTATTTCTGATCAGGTTGTCTTTCCTTTCTTGGCTTTTTCAGGACCATCATTTGATGCCGAACATTGTTGTCTGGTATTGTATGGCACTAGCGAAGGGGGCTCCAGCTTGCGTTTGGGGTGAATGTCATTTCTGCCTCGTTCCGTAAGCTTTCTTGTGCTTTGTTTCACCTCTGGCCTGCTTATGCATTGCCCGAGCCATCCTAGTTCTTGGACAGGGTTTTCAACTATCTCTCTTCTCCTCGGTTCGTGGTAGCCCCTTCGGTTCAAGATTGTTTTTCTACAGCTCTCTTTCTGTTGGTATTGGCCTCTGTGGGTGGGCTTGGTGAGCTTCATGCTCTCCTCTGGTGCAGGATTTTCTGCTCTTTCGGTCCTGGTACTCGGTTTGTTTGATTGCAGCCTCCTCCTTTTTCTGGCGAAGAATGACACAGCTGCTTTCCGGAGGGGTCCTTGGGTCATTGATGCTTGGTTGGTCAGGCCGGGGATGCATCATGTGTTGTGTCTAGTTACGGCTCGTCACCGTTACCTGCGTGTGTCTGTTTCTGTGGCCGGGGATACGCTTTGGGTTGAGCCGGCTTTCCTAGTTCCTTGTTCCAGGGCTCTGGTCTCCCAGGTCATCTGCAGGATTATAAAGTCTAGCCAGCCTGCGGTCTATCCTTGTACTCATGACATTCGGAAGTTTGCTGCTTTGGCTGCCATCTTCAGCAACATGTCTTTGGCCGATATTTAGGTGCAAGATTTTTTTTTAGGTCAAACTGGGTCCTGGCCACCCATTATTTGGTCAACATTCCTGGTCCTGGATGTTCTGGATATTTGGGTCGCAGGTTGCAGCCAGTTGTTTCGCCTTCATGTGGCTGGCACTTCCCGGGCAAGTCCCTCTTTTCCTTATCTTTTGTTATGTAGCTACAGGTAGCCGGAGGGGCTCCTCACAGAAAACCAGCATTGATGTAATAAAATGCTGTTTTCTGGGTGAGCCCCGTTGGCTCCCTGGCACCCTCCCTCCCTCCAGTCGGCAGTTTTCGCATTTTTATTATAGTTAGCCTTCGAACTGGAGTTGCTGGGTAGGTGGTGCGGGGGATCCTTGACCTGCGCGGTCAAGCGGCACAGCAGCAAGGTGTGACATTTGCTTCTTTCCTTGGGAATTGAAGGAGTTCTGTCTCTCTGTTCAGTTTTCGGTTGCAATTTTTATACATTGTGAAGTCTGTTTTGTTATGCCTACCTTTCTGGGTGCCTAACTCCAGTCAATGGCTTATAAGGAAAAACCCTCCACTCCTGTGGCACTCCTACGGTTAACCACTGCACTGCGCACCTGGTTTTGGCAAAACTTCACAGTGCAATTATCAAGGACATATTTTTGCTGTTTTTATAAATGTTCAGGTAAAGTTAATGTCAAAATGTTTCCAAACTCAACCATCTTTATTTCAAAACACAGAGTGATGAAATCATTAAAAAAAACATTAAAATATAGCCTAATTAAAAAAATAGCACAACTCTCAGAGCACCTTAGGGTGCTCTGTGCAGTACAGTGGTTAATGGTAGAATGGGAGAGGTTACATCATTGATAGCTACATACTTGTGTCTGTCACTAAGATTGGATAGAATATAGTTCAGGGCAAGGCCTCAGATTCCATAATGAAGTTTATGTAAGAGGCAGTTATGGTTAACAGTATCAAAGGCCTTTCTTAGGTCAATGAAGAGTCCAATCGGAAACTCATTTTTGTCAAGGACCGAGTCGATTATATCAAGCAGACTAATAATTGCATCGTTGGTACTCTTTTGGGGGTAGAAGCCAAACTGACAGGGACTTAATATGTTGAATTTTATGAGGTAGGAGTAGAGCTGTTTGTAAATAATTTTTTCAAATATTTTTCATAATATAGGTAGATTTGATATTGGTCTGTAATTGTTATGTCTGCCAGATTGCCTCCTTTATGAACTGGCGCTACTCTTGCTTTTTTAAGGATATCAGGGGAAGGTATGACACTAGAGAGATTTGTTGAACAGCAAAGCTATTGGGTGGTGCAAGGCCATGGGAGGCACTCTTGAATACCATAGATGGTATTTCACTAATGACTAACATTTATTACAGTCACTAATGTAATAACATTTAAATACACCATACATTACACTTTGTAATCATTGTGCATCATTGGTGTTCTGTTCCCAATGAACTGCTGCTAACTCGGTAGGTATGGCACCCAAAATAAACTAAAGTTTATGGGATAACAATGCGGTGGTAAAGATATTTAACAAATATCACTAAAGATATTTAACAAAATATTACTAACTTGATCACTAGTGTTGTTGGCATGAAGGACAGCGACGGGACTTGTGTGCTCTGCTAGTCCAAATTTGTGGAGAAGATTATGGAGTGTACAGCCTCGGTGTCCACTGCTGCAGGAGTCGGTGGCAGTAGGTAGTTCTTGATAGTAGGTGCAGTGTGCCTGAAGAGTGGTGGCTGGGCTGACGGGGGCGGGGAGTCTCGCCTCAACTCTCCTCAAAGAATGTTGTTGTTGATGCTGGTTGTCATGGTGACCGTGACGTCACCTCACCGCCATTTTCAAACATGTTGAAATTTACAAATACAAATACAAATATTTATTCAGGTAAAGTACATACATACAAGGTAAGATACAAACGTTGATGGATTTATAGATAGAGCTAGTACATACAATGCCTAAAGCCACTATTACGCAAAGCGTTTCCGAAAGGAAAAACACTAAGACTAAAACTTAGTACTAATTGAGATTAAAGTATAAATTGTGGTGAGAAAAAATAAGAAAAAATGGAAAAAAGGAGGGGAACATGGCAGAAAAAAAGCAAACATACAATTTGGTCAACAAACAGCATTGTTTAAAATAGTAGACATGGGTTGACATTTTGAGGGTGAGGTAGGTTACATTGAGTTAATTAGGTAGTATCTTAAACTGGTTGGGAGAGGTACAGTCTTTAGCTTAAGTTAGTTGTAATTGATAATGTAAAAATAGCCACTGAGAACTGATGAGTTGGCCAAGACTATTGCTCGTAAAGAGGGAATTGATTACCAACTTGGACTGCCTTTGAGCAGCCTGAGGGCAGCAATATCCCAGGAACATCAACTAAATTTCGGAGACTTGAGGCAAAGATAAATTCACACCAGTTACTCCATCTATCATCATTCTATTATGCAAAAAGAACCGCACGTCTATGGGTCTTCCAATAATGTTAGCAGACTTCTAGATGTTACCACTGCTAGGCTTAGGCTCGGCTACAAGTACCTCTGGGAGTTGTAACATCTGCTGATGTAGATTTGACTAAATGTAAACTCTGTCAGCAGAACTATTCGCATACTTTGCGTCATTATATAATGGAATGTGAAAAAATCGCGGAATTTAGAGATAACACCATCAATAGTGTCCAAGAAATGTGTAAGTACTTCATTCATAATGATGTGCTGCTCGAAATCTTAGCGAAGTATCCAAAATTTGCTTACTGTAGGTAATGCATGCACATGACTGTAAAGCTGCCGCCCAGTTGGGTGGGTGTGGAGCAAGACTAGTAACTGTGTGACTCACCATAGATGTAAAGTGCCTTGTATAGTGACTGCTGTGAGCCTTTTGTTGATCACTTGTGACACAAAGATTATTGATGTGTGTAGGTGATTAGATATGTATGTGTATGTATATATGTATACGTATATATATATATATGTACATGTATGTATGAGAGTGTGTACATGTATATATAATATTAATAATTTTGTAACTAGCGTTACAAATTGTTATTTGCTTAGCTAAACGAACTAGAGGGTTCAGTTCCTGAACCGATTATGTGCCTCTGTAATCCTTTACACCACCGCCCACGGGATGGGTATGGGGTGCATAATAAAGAAAGAAATTGAATTGAATTGGTCTGATTAAGACTTTATGACCATATAATCTATGTTTTGCTCCACTACTTACTGGTGAGTATGGGGTGCATAACAAATAATAGCCTCCTTCGGGGGCGCCTTGTTTCTAAACGTGTTAGTCTTAAATCCTTTAATCTCAAATCTTGCTACAATGTACCTCTTAATATATGTTATGTACTCTCGCAACCCAATGAGGGTTGCCTTCTTGTATATAATAAATAGATTTCAACTGTAAGGGATATGGTTTGCACCTTGTTATTCTAATAATGGATAAATAATTCTAATAATGGAAGCGCTAATTATATGAACAAGTGCCATGTATTTATTCAGATGAGAACAACAGCGAACACAAACCAGCGCATATACGAACGGAATGGTTTGTATGTACAAACTTCTCAGTGAACGAAGTTGTTTCTAGCCCGGTATCCGAAATTGCAGTATACGACTTGACCAGTCCCCGTTGTGATCCGAAGGTGCAGTCGACGCCTTGACCAGTCCCACTATGACTTCCCGCACCTGGAACTCCTTCTGGGGCTCCACCTTCGTTAAGGCTCCACTACGGAACGGCGTGGGCCGGTATGTCCAGCAGCTGCAGAGGATCACCTTCAAGTTCTGCAAGAGCAGCGGCAGCAGCCAAGGCACCAGGTGACCTCTCGCCCGCCGGGGCCCACTCTTCCCCCTCCCTCTATCACACTACTATCTAACATTAATATGTCAAATATCACACACACACACACACATTATATATATAATTAATGTGTGTTAACGTTAGGTTAGGATAGAATAGTTTCGTTTAATGAGATGAAATGACTTAGAATGGTACTTCACCCCTAAACTGGCCACTTCGTTCATAAAGTGGCCCATTCATCCATGAATTCTCACCACAACAATATTATTTTGTAGTCTACAACTTGGTACACATTATTTAACATTGTGGATTATATGATTATCTAAGGGTGCATTATGAACGATGTGAGTGTGCGGTAAAACATTGACACCAGCCATTCTACGTTGCTGTCCTTTTAAAATGATTATCCTTAACCTAACCTAACAATATGTAATTGTAGGAACAGAGGGACAGAGACAGAGGGACAGGGTCAGAGAGGGGGACCGGGGGACAGAGGGAGGACAGGGGGACAGAGAGGGGGCAGGGGGACAGAGGAGGGACAGGGGACAGAAAGAGTGGGCAGGAGGACAGAGACAGGGATAGAGAATGACAGGGACAGAGGGACAGGGACTGGGTCAGAGAGGGGGACAGAAAGAGGGACAGGGGGACAGAAAGGGCGGACAGGGGGACAGAAAAGGGGGACAGAGATAGGGACAGGGGAACAGAGACAGGGACAGAGATGGACAGGGGGACTGGAGGAAAGGGAGGGGGACAGAGGAGGAACAGCGGACAGAAAGAGTGAGCAGGGGGACAGAGACAAGGACATGAGTAGTAAGCCCTACCTTTAGTCAGGAAATGGCCACTGCTTTTCGCAGAAAAGCAGTGCTATTTCTGACGGGGAAAAAAGAGACAATTGCGCATCGCGTTCCGCAGGCGCATCGCGTTCCGCAGGCGCAGCGCGTTCCGCAGGCGCAGCGCGTTCCGCAGGCGCATCGCGTTCCGCAGGCGCAGCGCGGACGGTACCGGGTGGCATATAAATAGCCGGGCGAAGAGGGGTTCTGCCCTCACATTTGTATACTTGCCTTACTTCTAGTACCAGATAAGATATTAGGTTTCTGCATATTTCGTTTACCGTATTACTAGGCTATAAGCATACTCTTATTTTACTACGGGTGTACATATTAAGTTGATTAGTTGTACTCAGTTAGACATGGACATGTTACATTTGTTAAGTCTTACTTATAGCCGCCTCATTTACATGTTCTGCAGAAATTATTTTATTTGTACTTCTACTACGTAATAAATAAGCCCCCATACCGTCGGTGTCTTTTTTCCCCTGGCCAGAAAATAGTCTTAATGTCTTGGCGCTTTCCCCCCTCTTCCCTTCCCTTCTCTGATAAGAGTTCGCTTTGTTAACAAACACAGTAATACAAACAGTGCGCTAAGCACTGTTAATGGAAGCGCAAATTATAAAAGAATACATACATAGCATATTTGCAATCTTGTAAAGCCACTATCAAATTACAATTAAATTTAAAATTTAAAAAAAAACAGGGTAAGATTATATTTATGAGTAAAATTTTACAATGACTTTTATTATTAGAGAATTATATGATCAAGTGCCATGTATTTATTCAGACGAGAACAGCAGCGAACACAAACCAGCGCATGTACGAACCAAGGGGTGTGAATGTATACAATTCTCAGTGAACCAAGTTGTTATCCGAAGGTGCAGTCGACGCCTTGACCAGTCCCACTATGACTTCCCGCACCTGGAACTCCTTCTGGGGCTCCACCTTCGTTAAGGCTCCACTACGGAATGGTGTGGGCCGGTATGTCCAGCAGCTGCAGAGGATCACCTTCAAGTTCTGCAAGAGCAGCGGCAGCAGCCAAGGCACCAGGTGACCTCTCGCCCGCCGGGGCCCACTCTTCCCCCTCCCTCTATCACGCTACTAACATTAATATGTCAAATATCACACACACACGTTATATATATAATTAATGTGTGTTAACGTTAGGTTAGGATAGAATAGTTTCGTTTAATGAGATGAAATGACTTAGAATGGCACTTCACCCCTAAACTGGCCACTTCGTTCATAAAGTGGCCCATTCATCTATGAATTCTCACCACAACAATATTATTTTGTAGTCTACAACTTGGTACACATTATTTAACATTGTGGATTATGTGATTATCCAAGGGTGCATTATGAACGATGTGAGTGTGGGGCCAAACATTGACACCAGCCATTCTACGTTGCTGTCCTTTTAAAATGATTATCCTTAACCTAACCTAACAATATGTAGATTGTGGAGGATTGATATACAGTACACACTTGTTTTCATAGTTTTAAATATAAGGGATTTTTTTTTAGCTGCTGCTGAGTTTTAATCTCTCCTCTTTCTCATCTACATTAATGACCTTCCAAATGCCTCCCAACACCTCAAACCAATTCTATTTGCTGACGACACAACCTTCATTTACTCCAGTCCTGACCCCCTTGCTCTAAATGCCACAGTAAATACTGAGCTAAATAAAGTCCATCTTTGGCTAACTGCCAACAAACTCACCCTTAACATTGACAAAACTTTCTATATTCTGTTTGGCAAAAAATCCTCTAATCAAATAAATCTCAAAATAAACAATACCCAAATTTGTAACAAATTAGATGGCAAATTCCTTGGCGTTCTCATTGACCACAAGCTGAATTTCCAGGGACACATTCTAAATATATCAAAAAAAGTTTCAAAAACTGTTGGCATTCTTTCTAAGATCAGATATTATGTACCACGCCCTGCCCTGGTGACACTCTATTACTCCCTTATCTATCCATATCTCAACTATGGTATTTGTGCTTGGGGTTCTACTACCCAAAATCATTTACGTCCTCTAATTACTCAACACAAAGCTGCTATTAGGACAATACAGTGTATCCAACTCTGGCCCCAGACATCACTCGGTACCCCTACTCAAATCTCTGAATATGTTAGACATTAAGTCACTGCACATTCTCTCATGTGTATTATACATATATAAAACGCTAAACTGTAATGCCAATCCTGACCTCAAAAGCTTCATAGAAGGTTGTAACAGAACCCATGAGCACCACACCAGAAATACAGTTTTGATATTCCTAGAGTACGACTTAATCAAACTAGAAATGCTCTACAAATCAAGGGACCCAGATTGTGGAATGACCTTCCCAACCATGTTAAAGACTGTACCTCTCTCAACCAGTTTAAGATAAAAACAAAGCTCTACCTAATAAATTCCCTGTAACCTACCTTACCCCTCTAATGTCATCCAATGTCTGTTTTTTTTAAAGAGCGCTGTTTGTCGACAGAATTGTATTTGTGCTGCTTTTTCAGCTATGTTTTCATTCCATGTTTTCATTTTACCCTTTATGCTCAATTAGTATTAAGCTTTAGTCATTTAAGTTTTTTATGCCCGAAACGCTTTGCGTAATAGTGGCTTTAGGCATTGTATGTTCTAGCCCTAACTATAAATCCATCACTCTTTGTAAAATCTCTTTTATGTATGTACCTTACCTAAATAAACATTATTTTTTTTTTATTTTTTGAATGTCAACTTCAGTAATCTTGTAGATTATCAAAGATTTATTATAATCTTTGCTAACAAGGACCTTCAAGACCTCCTGGTGGAGGTCTTGAACTCTCGGGCAACAGCCAGCTCCCAGGTCAGTCGTGTTGCTAATATCTGGACATATAGCTGATGTTTTATAATGTACCTTTTGTTGTTTTATTTCTGTGTTGTCCTACAGTTTAGGGACTACATCCATCTGAATATATTAACCCTTAAACTGCGCAACGCGCCTGCAGGCTCACGTCTGGTTTGCGCAACGCGCCTCCAGGCATTTGTATTTTTCTCGTTCCATTCAAAACTCCCGCGGCTACATGGGGTTCACATCAGCTTCCCCAGGGCTCTTGTAAACAGACGCCATCTTAAAAAAAAATCGTGGTCCACATTCCCGGGTGTGGCAGCCTCAGTAGTGTATGAGCAACCAAGGCTGGCGCTCGCAGCATGAGCGCACAGCACTGCTGTTCAGCATGTGACCACAGCATCGCCTAATAATGCCAAAATATATATATAACTTGTATTATTTAGCTATGATAGTGTTATATTAGAGCCTGAGTGTGATAATGACTGGGTACAATGTTCAAATATCAGTGATTCAATGCTGTTCACGATGTTCACAGCGCTAGCCACAGCACCACAGCATTATTTCGTTCATCTAGGAATCTTCAAATGATTTCTTAGGTTCCTTTTCAAAATAAACGTGTGGTCAATTATTCATTTACAGGAATTAGTGACCAGGATTGTGATAATAGCAGGAATGTGGTTATAATTAGCGTTGTGCGTACTATTGTGGAAGGAGGAATTTTGATGAGGGAGGGAGGGCGAGAATTGAGGTAGCCTCATTGTGTGTGTGGCTGCCACTCTTGTTTTGCTCACCATACTAGCTTAGTGGTTCGCTATGGGCAACACATATGTACATGGGTATATATAGTGTAAGAACAGCAACAGGAGAATGTTGAGAGGAGCTATTTTGGTGAGGGAGGTGACGTAATCGTAGCGTCGTCTGCTGTGTGATTTTTCATGCAGTGTATGGTGGCCACTGTACTGTTTGGACACAATACCGGCTTACTTGCACAGTTCTGGTAAATAAAACATGTAGATAGGTATATAGAACATGTGTAATAAGAACTATAACAATATGGTGGGAGGAGCAATGTTGGCAAGTAAGATGTTGGAGTGAGGGAGACAGGCTGGGTGTGGCTGCTCTCACTCGAGGTATTCTGAATGTGTTCATGGCCAAATGCTCCTGTTGGCCCATACGGGGCAGCTGCTAATTGCCCATACGAGGCAGCTGCTATTGGCCCATATGAGGCAGCTGCTATTGGCCCATACGAGGCAGCTGCTGTTGGTCCATACGAGGCAGCTGCTGTTGGCCCATACGAGGCAGCTGCTGTTGGCCCATACGAGGCAGCTGCTGTTGGCCCATACGAGGCAGCTGCTGTTGGCCCATACGAGGCAGCTGCTGTTGGCCCATACGAGGCAGCTGCTGTTGGCCCATACGAGGCAGCTGCTGTTGGCCCATACGAGGCAGCTGCTGTTGGCCCATACGAGGCAGCTGCTGTTGGCCCATACGAGGCAGCTGCTGTTGGCCCATATGAAGCAGCTGCTACGCGGTGTTCTGAATGTGTTGATGGTGAATGTATATAGTGTGTGACAGTGTATAGTGTGTAAATAGATTGTATATATACACAAATTAGCATGATACATAGTAAATATGTGCTGCATGTGTGTACACAAGTTTCATGCACGTAACAGTGTCTACGGACAGTACGGATGTTGTACTGCGATATTATAGTGTACGTGTTCATTATACATTGGATTGGCACATAAAAACAATGAAAATGTATTTGGAAAGGTGCGCAAAAAATGAACGAAAATATATTCGCGGCAACTCGCGCGCCCCGCCCCGAGCGCCCCACCGCCCCCGAGAGCTTACGACACGGGCGCACGGGGAATGACGACGTCACGCCCCAACTTCTGGACCCCATAGCAGCCAAAGTAAGCACAATTTCGACTTTTTTTTTTACATACCCATACTGAGGGAAGGGTCTTTGACACTTTAAAAAGAAAAAATAATTTTTTCCAGAGAATTTGTTTCCTGCGCACTGCGGGGGTGTCACATTTGGAGGCAACGCAGTTAAGGGGTTAAACACCTACTAGAGTGCTCATCAGTTTGCCAATTATCACATGTCCCACTGCTTCTCAGCTAAGTGCCGGCTATCATTTGGACTTTGTTCTTTGGGGAACCATTTGCTTGTGTATCATTTTTTTTTTTTATTATTTGCTTCATATGTGTGTGTGTGTGTGTGTGTGTTTATGGATGCCTCGGCTCTGTGTTGGGGTTTCATTACTAGTATTCACGAGGCCTCCCAGGGTTGGTACTCGAGGCTGTTCCATCAGATACTCAATATGGTGCACGAATTTACGGCTATGTGGCAAACCCTGCAGAGGATTTGTTTTTTTCCAGACTCCTTTCTCTGGCTCCATTCCACTTCTTCCTGATGGTTCATTCTCTGAACTGCAGGGTTAACTTTGTAGATTCTTTGTGTGTCTCAACTTGTGCATTCTCTGGGTTTGGTACTCTGCACATTTCATGTATGGGGTGTGTCCAATGTTCCCATGGACAGGTTATTTCTTTTGTGTCCCATTTCCATGCCCTTGGTTATCAATACATCCTTGTACTGTATTGGCTTTGCAAGACATTCATTTCCCTGAGGTGGACCTCTTTGCGTAGATGTGGAACTGGTATCTTCCCTAATACAAGTCTCCATTCTCTGATCTGGCTCTCGCTGTGGATGCCTTTTGGCTGGAATGGTCAAGCTGGGTGTTCATTTACCTCTTTCCCAGAGTTCAGTTGTTGCTGGACTGATCATACTCGATCAAGGTGATCATTCAGGCTCCCTGGAGTCCAAACCCTAGACATTTTTCTGTGGCTCTGCTTCCATCGGTGAATTGGCCCAGTGATGTACCTCGCTGGTTAGACTGCAATATGCGTCTAGAGTTTCTGACATGGGTCTTTTTGCCATTTGTATGGTGAGCAGGTGGCTGGATTGATGGTATCTCACCTTTCTCTTTTTCTCTCTCTCTCTTTCTTTCTCTTTCTTTCTCTTTCTTTTTCTTTCTCTCTTTCTCTTTTTCTCTCTCTCTTCCCCCCCCTCCCCAATAGCAGAAGCACGAAGCTGCATGGCACTTGTTTCACTTCTTTCTGCCTATATCTGTTGCTTACGTTTGGCATCATTATGGCTTCATTACCATTCATTACACAAGTTTCTTGGAATGTTCTTTCACCTTCGGTTGGCTCATTCTGCTCCTAAACCTTCATGGTCTTTGGTGTTTGGGTTTCTTTCCTCTCCTTGGTTCATAGTTGCTCCCTTCTCTGCAGCTGGGGCTTCTTCATTTCTGGAAAAGAATGATTAGTTTCTTATTCAATTGAGCATGTGTCATCTCTTATTCATCCTAGTACGTACCTTCTCCTCCTCCTCCCTTGTAAGTCCTTAGTTTTTTTTTTCATGGATAGCTAACTTCAGGGAGCCACCAAAGGGCTCCTTCCAGAAAACCAGTGATGAATGTAATGAAATGCCTTTCTGGTAGAGCCTCAGTGGCTCCCTGACCTGATTTGTTGGTTTTATCGATTCATTGGGCATCAGCTCTGGACTGACCTGAGAGCCAGCTGTTGGCTGGGGGATCTGGTGGCAGCTGTCAGTACTAATGAGTTTGAGTTATTTTAGAGTAAACTAATTGTTGTAACAATCATTTGCAGTCATTTTCCACTTTGATGCCTTGTTTCTTATGAAGCTTGCAGTTCTCTTGTAAAGCTTCGCTGACTGGATAGTTTTCTGGTGAGGGTAATGATAATTATTCCCTGCTTACTGTGCCTCTGATGGGGGGAGGGGGGTTATATGGCAGGTTCTGACTCTGGTCCCTGGTAGGACAAACAGGACTTGCAACTGATGTGACCCAGTAGTGGAGAGCCATCTCGGCGAGAAAGCTTCAGGGAGCCACTGGGGCTCTACCAGTAAGTGGTATTTCATTACATTCAATGCTGTTTTTTTTTGTTATTTCAGAGAATATATCGAGAAGGAGCTAATTGAATTTGCTAGAGAGAATCCAGGTGTTGTTGTATATCTTAAGCCACGGCGCCATAGGTCATCCTGCCTGAAAGCTGAGTATTGTATGTTTATTTGACATTAGTTTTTTCCATATCTCTGTGCTATTTAGTTGTAATGAATTGACACTTTCTCCTTATAGTTCCCTTCCCTTTTCCCATATCTTTATAAACTGGCAATCAGATCTTACACATCACATTTATGAATTTCTGTGGAGCACAGTACTGTACAGTGGCACCTCGACTTACGATTGCCCCAACTTAGGATAATTTCGAGTTACGATGTAAATTTCATCGAAAAATGCGACTCGACATCCGATGGTGTCGTCGACTAACGATATTTGTTGGTACACATTCGGGTCGATTGAGCGTGTGGTTCCCGGTCACGCGATCAGACATGCCTCGGTTTACTACAGCTGCCCACTTAGTGACGATCGCGCCTATAAGAAATAACGCGTTTGTGGCGATTTTTTGCATTTTGAACATTATAGTAATTATTATATATCATGCCATGAGTCCCAGGAAAGTCAGTGGTAAGGCTCAATATATGAAAACCCATGTAAGGATAACCATAGAGCAGAAACAAGAGTACAGATTGTCTCTTCCTCAACAATTAAGAAAATGTGTGCAGCATGGGAAGAATTGCAAACTTTTGCTGAAACGACTCGCCCAAATCCAGCTGCAGTAGGTCGTTGCCTTAACCTATTTAATGACACTGCTGCATCATTACAGACAAATGTTAAAACGAAGGGAAAAACAAATGTCTCTTGACAAATTTGTAGTGAGACAAACAAGCACTGAACCACAACCAGGTCCTAGTGGTATTCAGGCAAAATGTAGGAGAGAGAGAGTACTCCAGAGAAAACATCACTGCCTGATGTGATAATGGAAGGGGACTGCCCTTCCAACCAGTAACAACTCTCCTCTCCCCCCCCTCATCACCATCTTCCATACACCATCAAGAACCCTCCATAAAGGTAAGATAAACTTAGGTACTGTATTGTAGTTAGAAAAAAACATTGTATTCAGTATAAAATGTATTTGTATGTTAATATTTTGGAGGGTGGGGAACGGATTAATTCAGTTCCCTCTATTTCTTGTGGGAAAAATCGCTTCGACTTACGATATTTCGAGTTGCGATCAGTCTCTGGGAACGGATTAGCATCATAAGTCGAGGCCCCATTTTATATTATATACAAGTATCTTTATTGTAGACCAAACCACACACTAGAAGATGAAAAGATGACAACGTTTCGGTCCGTCCTGGACCATTATAAAGTCGATTGTATATCAAATATCTTTATTTACAGTACAGTACTTTTACATATTGCAGATACAGACCAGCATTTTCTGGGGGGATCCCCATCGGCTCCCTGGAGCTATTCAGGTTGATATGGATATACAGGGTATTAGCTTTCTGGCATCAGTCAACGTGCACAGAGTTCTTACACCTACCGGGGACCACAAGTCAGAACCTGGCTCCCCTCAGAAAGGCACGAGGAGCATTGGCCTATAGAAACCCCTGTGTGGTTGGGAGCATTCTATGTCTGCCATCGACCGCGTCTGGCACCCAGAAAAGTAGGTACCCCAAAACAGACCTATTCTGGTGAAAATATTGCTACCGAAAGCCGAACCAGTGGACAGAACTCTCCAAACAAAAATTGGCAAACGAACATGACGTCATCACGTTGCTGTGCCGCTGTCTCTGCAACACACCCCCCCCCCCCCCCCGGGTGGGGGAGCGCCAGACCTTCATGCCCGCGATCCATCCTTCAGTTCTTGGCTGATGTGATACTGGCAGGTCATGTGCCTCTGGCTCCAGATTTTCTGTTTCTGTGCCTTGTGGTGTGGACTGTCTCTACTGGTGGTGTGCGAGCTAGGAGTATAATTCTTTGGTACTTGGGCTGCATGCACCTAGGGTTTGCTTTTCTAAGTGCCCTGTAAGTACTGCCCTTGGGGCTTGGGGCCACCTTCCACAAGTCGCCTTGGGATCTACCTCCGCTGTGTCTTTTACTGCTTGGTACTTGGCTGCCCTTGGAGTAAGCTGGGGTTTTTGTTTGCTCTTGTTTGCCTCTTGGGTAGGGGTAGTTTTTGTCAGTGGTTGGGGCGCAGGGTACTGCTCAGCTACTTATCACCTATTATAGTGGCCGGCTCTGTTATCCTCACGCGGGGTTTTCTTTTCTTTTTTGTTACATATTATATATAATTATATATATATATAATATATAATATGTATAATACTGTACAGTACAACCTTTATTCAACGTATTATATGGACCAACCCCGGTGCATTGGAGTGTTGGATTCGTTGCAAGAGGTGACCTTCAGGAGGCGTTTGCGTCAGTGTCTTTTTTTTTTCTTTGTACACAATAAAAATGCATTATCATATTACATACTGTACCTATATTTTACTACTCTACTAAAAAATACTGTAATTCATTTATTTACCTGATTGTTGGAGTTATGTCCATCTTGAAGTTTCGTGAAGTTGTGAATGCTCTACAGTAAATACGTACTGCAGTGCATTATGCCATTATCTACTACCTAAAATCATTTACGTCCTCTAATTACTCAACACAAAGCTGCTGTTAGGACAATATCCAACTCTAGCCCCAGACATCACTCGGTACCCCTACTCAAATCTCTGAATATGTTAGATGTTAAGTCACTGCACATTCTCTCGTGTGTATTATACATATATAAAACGCTAAACTGTAATGCCAATCCTGACCTCAAAAGCTTCATTGAAGGTTGTAACAGAACCCATGAGCACCACACCAGAAATACAGTTTTGATATTCCAAGAGTAAGACTGAAACTAGAAATGCTCTACAAATCAAGGGACCCAGAATGTGGAATGACCTTCCCAACCATGTTCAAGACTGTACCTCTCTCAACCAGTTTAAGATAAAAACGAAGCACTACCTAATAAATTCCCTGTAACCTACCTTACCCCTCTATTGTCAACCCATGTCTTTTTTTTTTTTTTTTTAAACACTGTCGACCTAATTGTATTTGTGCTGCTTTTTCAGCCATGTTCCCCCCTTTTTTATCTCTATTTTTATTTGTTCTCAACACATTTTATTCTGTGTACTCAATTAGTATCAAGCTTTAAGTCATTTAAGTTTTTCATACCCGAAACGCTTTGCGTAATAGTGACTTTAGGCATTGTATGTACTAGCTCTATCTATAAATCCATCATTCTTTGTAAAATCTCTTGTATGTCTGTACCTTACCTAAATAAATATTTATTTATTTATTTATTTATTTATTTATTTATTTATTTATTTATTAGCACTGTGTGATTAAAAGTAGTTCTGCTGTATGTTGAGTACTACAATACAGTTCATGAAAACTATTGTACACTAAAATTACGGCAACTTTAATTTTAACACTATGTACACACTTAAATTTAACACTTGTTCTAATTGTTCACTTCACACACAATGTTTTTAGATGTTTGCATCGGCTTTGCTGGTGCTCGCTGCTGCTGTGTTGGCTTCAGCTGCTTCTGTGCTGGTGCTGGGTACGGCTGTGCTGGTGCTGGGTACGGCTGTGCTGGTGCTGGGTACGGCTGTGCTGGTGCTGGGTACGGCTGTGCTCGTGCTGGGTACGGCTGTGCTGGTTGATTTTCTGCTAGTTCGTGAAAAATATTGACTCATTTTAGTTTTTCTTCTTCTTTTTGTCATGTCTTTGAGACAAATATCTTTCATCATCCTTAGGTGTTGATAAAAGCCTGGTACCTCTGGATTGTCAGTTTGTGAAACAATATTAAGGAGTTTTTTACCATGGAACAATGCATCAGTACACGTAGTAGATCGTAAACTGCTATCATTCTCATCCTCGTCGTCCTCTCCGTCATCGTCAACAGTGCCAGTAACATTTTGTATAATCTCATCTGTTAAATGACCAATGGGTGGATCGACTGCATCAATATCTAACCACTCCTCCACATCGTTCAGCGTCAACTCCATCTCACCAGCGGCACGCAGTTCTTGATAAATATAATTTGAAAATCGTTCAAAATCCATTTCTTCCTCAGTCACTTCATCAGCATGATCAAGCAACAGGAGTTTTTTTCCAACAATTTCTTAATGTTGACTCTTTAACTTCATCCCAAACTTTAGCCCAGTTGTAAATGGCTTCCTTAATCGAGTATTTTTTGTAACGTTCCAGTGTTGCTTGACCTCGCGAATCGGTTCTTTGTCTTTTTTCTTCATCTGACTCAAACACCACCATGATTTCTTTATTCATTACTCGTTTGTATATATAACCTTTTCGTTGCATATATAAGCCTTTTCATTGCATATATAACACCCATATCCATTGGCTGGATCAGAGAGGTGGTATTTGGAGGCAAGGCCATACATTTGATGCGTCCATCATGTGATGCTAATGTGTCGAGCCCTACACGAGCTGGGGCATTGTCAATCGAGTAATGCCTTGACATCATTCTGTCTCGCTCCACACTTCTTTATTTGAAAATCTCTTCTTTGCAAAAATGATTTTTGAACCAGTCCACAAAAATATCTCCAGTAAACCAAGTTGTTTTAGAGTTGTAGTAGACCACAGGTAGCTTGTTCATTAAATTTTTCAAAGCACGTGGGTTTTTCTGTGGGGAGCCCCAATGGTTACCTGGAGCTTATCGGGCTAATGTATGTTATATTAGACCGGGACATTAGCTAAGGAGTTCAGACCTACCAGGGACCAGCGCCAGAACCTGGCCCCTTCAGAGAGGTTTCAGGGAGTAATGGCCCTGGAAAACCCCTTGTGGTTGGGATTTTCCTTATCTGCCATCGACCGGGGTTAGGCACCCAGAAAGGTAGGCATAACAAAACAAACCCCACATGGCAAAAACTAAAACAAAAACCGAACATAGAGCCATTGCATGTGTCTTCCGGGTTCCAACCCGTCTTGTACGGGATCGTTGGTTGCTGTTCCCTTGTCTCCGGGTGACAGTCGCCATTTTTACCTCCGTCATGCTGCCTGGTGGGTCACTGACACCTTGACCCGGAGTCTTGCGAGTGATTCTCTGCTTGTTCTCCAGTACTCTCCTGATGTTATTAC